TCCTTCCTTCCTTCCTTCCTTCCTTCCTTCCTTCCTTCCTTCTTTTTCCTTCCCTCTTCATTCTCCTTCCTTCCCCTCTTTTCTTCTTTTTCCTTCCTTGCTCTATTTCCATCTCCCACCCCCCAGCCTCAGTTTTCGCTGACAGAGGGCTGCAGGAAGCTGTCCAGGGTGAAAACAGGCCCTGGGATGGCTGTGTGCAGCCCTCCCAAGCTCTCTTTTCACTGGCAGAGAAACTGCGGGCCAGTCTTTTGCCCACAGATCCAGACTACGGGCCTTGAGTTTGACACCCCTTGTCTAAATAAACAATCCAATAAAAAGGGCATGCAGGAAATTTTAACAGTCAGCCTTGAGTTTTAATTCTCACAGGCTTTAAAATTGATTTTAAAAAAATCAATTTCATCAAACTATATTGTGTATATCTCCCCATTTCACTTATAGAATCAGAAAAAAAATGGTCTTTGCCCCCACCTGTGAGGCACAAGAATTTCCAATGGTCCACCTGCATCCTATGCCAGATGCAGCCAAGGGATGTCATTCTCCCTATTACTCTCTTGTGCTGTATTATTCATTGATCTACCTGCATATAATTCTAGATTGCCTGAACCAACAAGGGCCTAATTACAGTAAAGGAGTGGCTTTCCATCAATGATCTGTTCCTGGAATGGGCAGTAAAATAACTATCATTCTTTGCTTGCACCATATGAATAGCAACATCCATATGAGGCCCTTGTAGAATAGATAACAGATAATCAGAGTTGGAAGGGAGCTTGTAGGTCATCTAGTCCAACCCCCCCCCCAAACAAGCGGGAGACCCTACACCATTTCTGACAAATGGCAGTCCAATCTCTTCTTGAAAGTCTCAAGTGATGGTGCTCCCACAACTTCCAAGGGCAAACTGTTCCATTGGTTGATTGTTCTCACTGTCAGAAAGTTTCTCCTTGTTTCCAGATTAAATCTCTCCTTGTTCAGTTTCCATCCATTATTCCTTGTCTGGCCTACAGGTGCTTTAGAAAATAGCTTGACCCCTTCCTCTCTGCGGCAGCCCCTCAAATATTGGAAGACTGCTATTATGTCTCCCCTGGTCCTTCTCCTTACTAGACTAGCCTAGCCCCATTTCTGCAACTGTTCATTGTATGTTTTAGCCTCCAGTCCTCTAATCATCCTGGTTGCTCTTCTCTGTACTTTTTCTAGAGTCTCAATATCTTTTTTATTATGTGGTGAACAAAACTGGATGCAGTACTCTAGGTGTGGTCTTACTAAGGCTTTATAGAGTGGTATTAGTACTTCCCT